CCGAGGTTCATGAGATTAAGCCGAGATTGCTGAAGATAAGCCGAGATTGATGAGAATGAGCCGAGATTGCTGGGGATGATCCGAGATTGATGAGGATGAGCTGAGATAGATGAGAATGAGCCGAGATTACTGAGGATGATCCGAGATTGATGAGGATAAGGCGAGGTTGCTGAGGATGAGCCGAACTTGATGAGGGTAAGCCGAGCTTACTGAGGACGAGGATGAGCCGAAATTGCTGGGGATAACCCGAGATTGATGAGGATAAGCCGATGTTGCCGAGGATAAGCTGAGATTGCTGAAGATAAGCCGAGATTGATGAGGATGAGCCGAGATTGCTGGGGATAACCCGAGGTTGATGAGGATAAGCCGAGATTGCTGAAGATAAGCCGAGATTGATGAGAATGAGCGGAGATTGCTGGGGATAAGCCGAGATTGATGAGGATGAGCCAAGATTGATGAGGGTGAGCCGAGAATAATGCGGATGAGCCGAGATTGATAAGGATAAGCCGAGATTGTTCAGGGTAAACCGAGCTTGATGAGGATAAGCCGAGGAAAAGCCGATATTGCTGGAGATAAGCCGCTACGGCCGAGATTGATGGGGATGAGCCGAGGTTGATGAGGATAAGCCGAAATTGATGAGGATAAGCCGAGATTGATGAGGGTGAGCCGAGATTAATGCGGATGAGCCGAGATTGATGAAGATAAGCCGAGATTGATGAAGATAAGCCGAGATTGATGAGGATAAGCGGAGATTGATGAGGACAGGCCGAGGTTGCTGAGGATAAGTCGAGATTGATGAGGATGAGCCGAGGTTCCTAAGAATTGCCCGAAATTGATGAGGATAAGCCGAGCTTACTGCGGATGAGCCGAGATTGATGAGCGTAAGCCGAGGTTGCCGAGGATAAGCTGAGGTTGATGAAGATAGCCGAGGTTGCTGAGGGTAAGCCGAAATTGCTGAGGATAAGCCGAGCTTACTAAGGACGAGGATGAGCCGAGATTGCTGGGGATAAGCCGAGGTTGCGGAGGATAAGCCGAGGTCGATGAGGATGAACCGAGGTTGATGGGGATGAGCCGAGATTGATGAGGATCACCCGAGATTGATGAGGATAAGCCGAGGTTGATGAGGATCAGCCGAGGTTACTGAGGATGAGCTGAGATTGATAAGGATAAGCCGAGATTGATGAGGATAAGCCGAGGGAAAGCCGATATTGCTGGAGATAAGCCCCTATGGCTGAGGATAAGCCGAGGATACTGCGGATGAGCCGAGCTTGATGAGGATAAGCCGAGGTTGCAGAGGGTAAGCAGAGGTTGATGAGGATAGGTCGAGGAAAAGCCGATATTGCTGAAGATAAGCCCCTTCTGCTGAGGATTAGCCGATGTTACTGAGGGTTAGCCGAAATTGATGAGGGTGAACCGAGGTTACTGCGGATGAGCCGAGGTTGCTGAGGATAAGCCGAGATTGCTGGGGTTAAGCCGAGATTGATGACGATAAGCCGAGGTTGATGGGGATGAGCCGAGGTTGCTGAGGATGAGCCGAGGATGCTGAAGATGAGTCGAGGATGCTGAAGATGAGTCGTTATCCGCGGCTCATTTAAAGCATGTTTGTTTCTGTTTGAGGACGGGGCATTTAAAGACTAACCCTTTCCCAGACAATACTGCAACACAGTCTCGAACTTCTGTCCTAGGAGCATCTGTTGCAAAAAAAAACAGACAAGGTCCGCCTCTCGCTTGCTCTGAACGCGCCCAACTACAATAAAGATACAAGAAATTAAGCTAAAGAGACAACAGACAAGAACAAAAAAGCGCTAAACACCAGATACGCATGCATCCATGCTCAAGTACCTCCGTCCTGAAGTAGTTGATGACGCCGTAGACATTGGGCTTCATGAAGGGAAGCTTGACGCGGCTCTCGGTGGTGAAGGTCGACCCGCCTTTCCCGAAGGTCATCGTCCTCCACTTGTTGTACTTGGAGGTCGCCGGGCTCGGCATCTTGTCGTCGAAACGGTACTCCACGTCCAGTGTCTGTTCATCGAACGAAAACGACGGGTTCCGAAAGAGGGAACGGCTCAATACCCGACAAGACGGTAAGCGTGCTCGTGCAAGTGTGTAACGTCGACGCTGCACTTGACATCCAGAATCTCTTCAACGAACGAAGGACGCAGGTGGCAAATGTGTAACGGCTAGTTCCATAGAAACCCATGAGACAGAAATATTCACGTCACTGCGAAATAATTCAACGCGCCCCTTCGGACTCCAGAATTACCTCGAACGGGTAGGTCTCACTGCTCTGAATGTACTGGTAGTATTTTTTCTAGAAATAATTAGGGCGTACTTTCTGGAAAGACAGCGCCGTTCAAGACGTGACAGGCGGGACAGCATACGGAGGCGCGTCGAGACGTACTCCATGCCCAGCGTCTTTCCATGGGAACGAACAGAATAGGAGTTTAGGGGGCATCATACAAGACGTGACAAAGGTGCGATATCGTGCAGAGGGCGCCACCACTCAAAAACCGCAACAAAACAGGCTCGGGACATTTCTCAAACTTCCAAAAAATAAAACCCTCGAGAGTTCTTCCTCGCCACCAAATAATCGTCGGATCGATACGTGCTCGGCTCATACCCAGCGCCGCAAAAAAGCAGAAAAACCAATGTACCGTAGGTGACGTACGATACAACCCCCCCCCCCTGGGCCGATTTTCTAGTTCGACTACTCCACGACGAAAAGGAAGCCACCATCAAGAAATACGGGCAACCACAGGTTGCATATGACACTACAACCCGGATGAACACTCAAAACTCGATTCCTCCACCAAGAATATTCTTTTCCGGAAAGCTGTCAACGAGACGGTTACAACATCGCCGCCCCTGCCGCCACGGTATTCGCTCCAGAACAATACAGCATTGAAGAACGGTCGAGGGTGTGTGGAAATCTTACGCATCCTACGGTAGACAGATCCAAAATGGCGCAGTTAGGCTCCTGAAACTTCTCTCGATCGCTGCTGTAACACCGCCACAAGGATGACCGCCAGAATCTGGTTCATGGTTATGAAACGTAGCCTGGGCTGGCGAAAAAACGGCGTATCCCTCCGTCCCAGCGTGCGAAGCCAACAGTCTAAATTAAAACCTACCGCAAGTGTTTACATGAGCACACACACCCCGCATTGTCAGTGGCCCAGCAACAAAGACACGAAACACATGAGTACACCCCCGCCCTAACCATGCCCATCGTCAATGGTCTATGGCAGCAACCAAGGCACAG